GGGGGGGGGGGGGGGGGGGGGGGGGGGTTACTTAATCTCACAACTGAGGATGCGGAATTGTGGATGCAGCCAGAAATGTCTAAGAAAAGGCCTTACACAACAAAAATATTTCTGAACTTAGTAGTCCAACTTGTTGTAAATAAGAAAGGCTGTACCTTCCCACAAAATTCACAGAAGTACTTGCTGTGCTGACTGACCTCCATCTTCTTAATCTGCTTTCGCAGACTAGCCCCATAACGAGTTCCTGAAATTGGTGGCAATCAGCAAAGTGAAAACCCTGAAGTGCAAGATACAATTTGAGTATCAAATAGAACTAAGGACATATCGTAAGAAGTACATGCATTCTGAAATTCCCATAACAGGAAACTAGATAAATTAAAATCGCCATGAGTTGCATATATGATAGAGCACTAGAACACATGTACAGAAAGTCAAGACCATGAAAGTCAGTTTCCTTTTGGAATACTAGCAAGAGTGTTTTATACCTGAACTAAAACAAGTAATGAACTGAACCCTTAAAGTTGAAATCGAGCTACTAAGGCATTTCCAAATTCATAAAACTTTTATTTGTGAACCCTCAATTTCCATGACATTTTTTAAGGACCTCAATCTATCACGATCCTAATTAAGTCCAATACTCAACAATACTGCACATTAATATTGCAAGAGCTATGCAATTCAAAATAATGAGATAAAATTGTACAAGAACTTTATGCCTCGGACAATTTTAAGACTAAGTGTCACCTCTCTATCTGATAATTAATATCTTTAATGGAGTCAAACTTCAAATTCTCATACATAATGACAGGAGACAGATTTTAAATGATATTTAACATCAAAATTACATTTCTCATCCTCAGATGCAACATTTTCTTCAAATTGGGATGGGTTGGTCTGGGCAGATGCATCAATCTAGAAGCACGATTGTTGAGTGAATAGATGGACTGCCAAATCACGAAGCAGAATTAAATAGGCAACATTGAAACTTACCATACTTTCCTACAATACCAGCCTTCTTCGTCCTCTTGGTCTACATCAAAGCAAATAGGCATTACCACAAGAGTTCATGTTCAATCAATCCAAATGTAATGAGAAAAATAAATATGAACGACTAGCAGAGAATCTGAACAGTTCACAATAAACTTCGCTGTCCCCCCATAGGTTGAGGACAACAGCATTTCAGGAAAATTTCCTCCCCAACAGAGAACATCCTTATTTATTTGCTAGGTCAGTAACATTGAAAAAATTAAATTTATATCGAGATTCAAATGATGTGCATCTACATTCCAACAAAGGTCAATTCGCTGAACTGAACTAAGCAAATAATCCACACTCATTCGTTACAAAGCCTTTCAGTTTCAAGACACATCAATTACTACCCCATTTAAGTGACGCCTAAGCCACAGAATAGCACTAATGAACTCTAAACACAGCCAGGCGTTAGGTTCTATGCTTAGCTATGTTGCTTAACAAATTCAAGGACTAACTGCATCAAGAATTATCAACTGAATAATCATATTCTAAGTAATTTTTTCATAAAAAAAAACTAGTATCATAGCAGCTAGATTTTACCTAGAAAATTACAAAAATAAGTATTTCACTCTGAAACTTGTTCAAACGAACACGGTTTTCAACAGCATTCATGTCGAATTCAAGCAAACAAACATAAAACGAGTATGCAATTATATATATATATATATAAAGAGAGAGAGAGAGTACCATGTTGCTTGGTTTGATGTGCGAGACAGGCCTCTGGAAGTGGGGAGAGAGAGCGTCTGCTGAGAAGACAGAGGAGAGACGAGAGAGAAAACCCTATCGTTCTTCCTCTGGCCGTTTTACGTTTATAGTCTTTAAAATGTCAAGCTCGGATCGGGTTGGAACTGAAGCGTTGAAATTGGATCCGACACCATTAATGTTCGGGGCATCGGGCGAGGCAAACTCAAACTCAAGTATCCAGTCCGTTTAAACCCCAAAGTTAAAGCCACCAACCCCGCTTAATTAAAAAACAACATACATTTCTTTGTACGAGGCATCTTTGCTAAAAAAACAATCTCTTCGGATCAAGTTATTAAGAATTTAGTCATTATGAATACCTTAATTTCGACATGAATAAACAAACTAAAAAAAATAATTAATCGAAACGAGCGTAATAAGATTAAAATTAAATTTGGGCCAGCATTTGCTCCACATCTTTGATATGGAAACATCAAACAAGTCTTAACACAGTAATTAGATTAATCCATTGTAACATAAACATCACAAGCTCTAATCAGCAGAATAAAGTTGCACACATCCAAACCTCTCTTGCAGTAGCTGTTTTTTTTTTTTTTTTTTTTTTTTTTAATCTTTGGTTTTTAAAGTTACATGAATTTCAACCATAAGAACACTAAAGTAGTGCTCTTGCCTCAAACTGTTATGTTGCTCCATCATCTTCGACCCTGCCCCTAAGTAGTTGAAGGGGCCAAGTTGCCCTGAAACGATTTAGCTGGAATGGGGACCGTTTCCTGGTTCAAGTTCTCCCACACCAAGTAGAACTTACATTTAGTACAATATGAAGTAAAAGAATCGCGTAAAAATTGCATAAAACTTACTACAATGACAAACTGCAAAGCAGAGGCATAGCTTTTGCAATGAAGCTAAACAAAGTTCCATGTAAGAACTAATCCCGATTAATTAGCTTCTGAAAAATCCAGACTCAAATAGAAAAGAAGAGAGTGGGGGGGGGGAAGAGAGAGAACATAGTAACGTCCACTGCTGCCCTTTGTTGCAGGTATTTGCAATCGTTACACCAAAGAAGGTAAAATGGAAAAACAAAAATTGATCAATTTACACTGCAAACACCTTCTTCATGGTCGAAGGCAGAGGGGGGTAGTGAAAAAAAACACCAAACTAGCACTAAGATAAACATTTAAAACAAAGAA